CCACTGCAAACAAAGCATAGTGTTGTTAATTGGCAATCTTTCTGTTCAGGAGGACAGAACTACAGGTCAAACTTTTTTTTTTTTTTAGGTTTTGGATTTGTCAAGTTAAATTTGTTTTGTTGCATTTGTAAATGAAAATTAGTTTTGTTAGACCAGATTTGAATCCATCCAAAATTCATAGCTGGTTTTATTGTATTTGAAAAGTAGAAATGGTTATTTTCTATTCTGATTTTTTTTTTTAAATTTGGGAAGACAGCTAGCTATATATTGTATTTTTTGAAATTCCAATTTTGGAAGATGCTATATTCTAACATTAGCTGTCATGTTTCACACGACTGTCACATGCCTTTAAGTGTTTCTATATTTTGTTTCTGCTCCTCCCCCTTCCTTTGGTTTAGTTAATGCTGTATAGATAGCCCTCCCCCCTTTCCCAGAAATGCATTGCAGCTCTAGCCTCATGTCATGGAGCAGGAAACATTATGATCTTTTGACCCATCAAATGTTCATTGTTGTAAGATTCTCTCAGTTTATGGAATAAACTTCACAAGATGTCTTATCGATTGAGTCACTGACTGTGGTATCCAACCGAGATTGAAGTTATCGCTCTCTCATCACAACTGTAAAGTTAGAGATCACACTATCAATGCTTAGATTGGAGAGACAGAACAGTCTTTGAAGGAAATCAAAAATATGTTTTACATTTCAACTTCATTACCATTTGTAACATGGTATTTCAGATACTCTGATGTGAACTCTGATTCAGAATTAAATGAACCGCACATGTATAATCGCAGTGCTCTGCCAAGGCTCCCCTGTACATTATATTGTGGTCCTAATACTATGAGATTCTCCTAGTTGAAGTACATGGTGTGTCTGGAGGGAGCCCACTTCACCTTAAGGGACAGAGCAAGAGCACAATGGCATCCAGTATGTCCCCACACCAAAATTCAGTGAACAAGCTCAGAGGGCAACCACCTGAATTTAAAAAAAAAAAAAAAAAAAAAAAAACAATAGTATATATAATATATAAATATAGTTTAAATACCATCTAATAATTCATTTAAAAACCAGGAAATTTTAGCATACATTTTACATGCCCCAAACTAGCACCATTTACATACAGTTGAGACAGTGATACCTGTAAATTTTATACAGACTGGAACATCCATCTTTTCCACAGAGAGACACTGAAAGAGACCCCAGAAACAAGATACGATCCATTGATACTGATAGAAATGTTGTACCGCCAGCCTAGAAACAAGAAATTATGTTAGAGAATAGCACTCTTGGCACATTATGAAAAACACACACACACACAGGAGTCTATTACCAGTTGTTGGCGAGAGCCCAGTCTGCGGTGCAGTGAGATTCCAGCACAAAGACACTGATACGCATACATGTGCCTCACAGAAGATCACACTTCAGTGAAACCGCATATAGATACTGTGGAAGGGTTAAAAATCCAAATCCCTAGCAAGTGGCTGGAGATCCGATTTAAAACCCCCTCCCCCCATATCCTTCCTGGTGCCCCAAAGCAGTTGCCTAGGCAGCCCTTATGCTGTTGCATCTACTTTAAAAAGTGACTGTAAAAGCTTACATAGCACAAGTTGAACTTTTTTATCTGCAGTAAATGTCCATTGAAAGTCCTGCATTTTTATACAGCTTGTCTAAGCTTTCATAAAGCTAGAGGGGAGAGTTGAAGTTGAGCTCTACAGAACTCAGGGAACAGCCAATTTGAGGGAAGGGACATAGCACAGGCACCGGGACAGCTAAGGCTGTCAACCGCAGGCAGTGTGCTGGAGTTCTTTAATGAGTAGATTAGAGAGTATATTGTGATAGGTTGTGTGTTAACCCGGACATCTTGATGTGGCAGTTTTAAGCTTCTATGCTCATACATTCTAGTTAGTGATCTACAAACCATGCAAATATATAGCTAGAGATCTCTCTAGCACCATATCCAGCATTAATCCTTTTGGCCATCGGGACCCTCTTTCCCAACCATGGAACAGTTTCCTAGGAGAACTTACTCAGGAAGTTTGAAGGGTCTCCAGTGTTCAGGAAAAATTTCTGGTCAATTGTAGGGTCTTGAAAATGACCAAGCACATATTCATATGCCTTGTACCCCATGAAGGCACAACTTTCTTTTCTGCATGGGAACCCAGATCCCTAGGAGGAGGAAAGGAAAAAAAAAAAAAAAAAAAAAAAAGGTTCAGGTCAACTGAAGTCTTCAAAATAGCAATATCAGATTTGTGGAGTTTCTACTACCACCAAGTGGTAAAGCCAAGGTGCTCACATTTGTGCTGCAGGGATAAAACCTTCCACACATCTCCCTATGCAAGGGAGAAATCACTTCTGTCCTCACCTCACTAAAATTTACCAGGATAGCAAGACTGACAGGACAGACTCTTCTGGTCAAATGTAGTTGTATTCTCATTACTGACAAAAATGGTCACCAGAGCAAAATTGTGAATCCCATCTCAACAAGGAGAGAGTTTACTTTTTTTTTTTGAGGCTCTGTTAAGGTTTTATAGCAAGACTAACCTTTTCAAAAGCACTGTATGATGACGCAGGGTAACCGATGAAACCACCAGGACTCAGAATGCTCTTTGTAAAGAACTTAAAACTCATTTGGTGGTTGCAAAAGATCTTTTCATAAATCCCTGGAAAAGCAAGTTGTGCAAGTGTAAAACATTGAACACTACAATCATGCACAGAAATAGGGGGCATGAGATACTTACCTCCAATAATGTTATCAATATCTTCAAGTCCAAAAGATATTTTGTCACAGCCAGGCATCTTTATACCGCCATTGGGGAAAAAGTCAATATTACCAACTGTCTGCTTCATGCCAAAGCCTAAAGACAAATGCAAGTTACAGATGCCATCAGAGACCAACACCAATGCAGTTGCACAAATATTAGTTATGTGCCTCAGACTAGAGGATGTTCTAACTTAGTCTCTTGGGTTAGGAGGATACCCAGGCACTCCATCCATTTCTTCTGAGCTGCCAGAGAGACTCTGGAATGAGAAGGTTTACTATGCAGAAGCCAAAACCTACCAAGATGAAAGGCATCAGTTGACCCATCTGTGTGAATGGCATCAACAAAAACTGCATCTGTAGGGTCCAGTCTCACTTCGGCTGGGGTGTTTTCAAAGTAGGGACCAGCTGCATCCAAACCTAGATAGTCAAGTGAAAATATGAGAAAGCCCAATTTAAACAGCTTCTTTACAGGATGGATATTTGTGCACCACCATGCCAATCGTGTTTCCCTTCCAGCACACTACAAATGCAGATTGCAATTTCTTGCATCGAGACCAAATTAACAAACTACCTTTAATGCATACATTTTCTTTATTGTATTAGGTAAATGTTTGCAGACTCCTTGATATGATGATGAAAGCCAATTTCAAAAATCTTACAGAGTAGCTATGACTTGTATCCATACAAACACCAGGTCTCAAGCCATACAAGCTGAGGAGAGGTGGTGAACCCTGTTAGGTGTGACAGGGTGTATAATTCCTGCTGCGGCTGTGACATGTGTTCACCCCTGGTCACTATAGTTAAAGAGGGTGCAGTGGGGAGGTGGTAAAAACAGGACTCAACTTTAGGGTTTTACCAAACTGCAAACTGTAGACAGGTCCTTACTGTCCTGAGCCCCATAGTTTTTATAGGGGACCCCTAAATTAGGGACAGAGGGGGCCCCTCTCCTCTGTATCCATCCATAAACTAAACACTGCACTGCAGGAGCCATGCTGATCCGAGTTCAATGTCCCTTCTTCCCCTCCTGTCTGTATAGATAACATCGGAGCCAAGGGGGAGGAGGAGGCTCCTCCGTTAGCTCTGTAGCCTATCATTGGCAAGAGATGCAGGCTGCCACAGAGGTGATCACCACGTGAGACCTCAGGCACCCTTCAAGAGATGGGGGTCAGGTGCCAACACTAGAGTGCCCCTGTCAGGACAGTTACTGTAGCCCACTGGGAGAACTGGTTTGTTGGGACCAGTATGACATACAGGGGGTGACTCAAGTGACTCCCTGTGGCCATAGTTGGGCCCATCAGGACACCTGGCACCCCAACATCTGTATGGGCTGTCCCTTCCAATGATGGCCCTGCCAATAGAAGGAGAGAGCACAGTGACCGTTAAATTAGTCTGCTAATTCTTTTCACTGTCCATTCATAGGCTGGGGATGTCAGGTGGTCGGCAAATGTTAAATAACTTCAGGAGGAAAATCAGGCCTCCCACCATGACAGATCGAATTATCCTGTGTAAATCTCAGGAGTGACAGACAAGCCTTCTGCGTTTAGCCAGTTACCCATGTTCAGTGTTTGCATATTTGGTATTGGCTCTACGTCACAATATATGCAGGGGAACTAAACTGTACTAGGGGCAAAACTACTCCATTAGAACTTCCTTTAGTCAATTGAATAAAGTTGGCCATACACACCTTTTTGTTCAATCTACAGAAAATACATACCTTACAACAGGTACTGCTCAGATTGCAAGCAAAAGGGTGTTGGGCAGGAATCAGTTGAGAGAGCCACCTGGGTAGCCAGGAACCAGCTGAAAGATGCTCATTGTCTGTCCAATTTTAAAAATGTGTGTACTTGCTGGTCATTTGTCAGATGCTGCAGTCAACTGAACAGTCTCAAAAGCACCAGGAACAAACACTTCACCTACCAGAAATTCTTCCAATTCCCCTTTGTCTCTTTCCAGCTTCGCCAGCAACATGAGCTCCCAGACTGTGCCCAATCAGGTAGACATCATGCATTTGGTAGTCATACTTTACCTGAGAGAGAGATGAACCATTTTATCTGCAATGCTTTAAAACTTGGGTTTAATGCAAACACTATCCCATTTTTCTTAGCCTGCCATTAAGAAATTGTAAGGCTCTCAGTATGTAGTAGATAGAGTGAAACAAGGAGTCTACTCAACTTTGACTTGCTAGAATGGTGCATACCTGTATAAAACGCAAGAAATAGGCAATTTCAGCCCCAACCACATAGATATTGTTGGATGTTTGTGAGTAGAAGGCAAATGATCCTCCACTCCAGTCCACACAGAGACAGTTCACATCTGTCACTTCCAAGAGAGTCTACAATAGACAAAATCATGTAAGACAGGTCTTTTTATAGGAAAGTTGGCCAGGACCCTTTTCTTCAGCCACACCTACCTGACACATCTTCACTAGCCATGACTTGTCCCCAGTCTCCAAGAAGCCATGAATGATCATTATGGATTTCTGGCTGGGTTTAAAGTTGGTGTCAATGATGAGGAGACATTGAGTGCACTGATCACCTGGAAGAGACAGATACAGTGTAGTACTCAGCTACAACAGAATTTGGATTTGCCCAAATTAGACATGTGCAGTTTGTGCCGAATTGAAATTGACAATTTTTTTTTGTTATTCAGATGCATCAGAATCATAACCAATTTGTAATAAAATGAAATGTCGTCCAACAACACAAGTTATCTGAATTCAAAATTGAATTTGAAATTTATAACAGTCTTCTGAATGACTGGAATAGAGCTCTGAAATTTGATTTTTGAAAAGAGCATTATAGAAGTCTTCCAAAATTTGAATTTCAAAACAGAACGAGCTGTTCAATGAATTTGGACCAATTTGAATTTGATTCAAGTACATTGAATTCACTGGCAAATTTGAATCCAGTCAAAAATAAAACAAAACTAAAAAAAAATTGTTACAAATGCAAAAACAAAAAAAAAAAAAAATTATATAATATATATATATATAGTTAAACTTAATCGAAACAAGTGTTTGTTCTGCACATGTCTAAGCCAAGTTATGATATCTGACAAAATGCATGGTCATTGGAAATTAACAAGAGCACTTGTTTTTCAATGTAATAAGTGGCTCCTCAAAGATAAAAAGCTTAGAATATAAAGGCAGAGTATTCTCTGAGCATTTCCTTCAAGGCACACACAGGAAGCCCAATTATATTCTGCAGTATTACTTAGGACAATAGCGTACATTATGCAGCCCTTTCATAAAATGCTGGCCACAGTATTGAGATTGACACTTCATTGCGTTTTGAGTAGCCATAAATATTTATCTGGCAGGTAGAGCTCCAGACTTGCGTTAATAGGCTATCCTTAACTGCTGGATTAGAAATAGCCTCTTACAGTGTTTAAAAGCTAAAAGTTAGTCAGCATGTTTTTTTTGTTTCAGTAAAAGAAGCAGCTTCTCTGGTGTACTTTCCCATAATGCCCCATGAGACACAGTATTATGATGCACCATGGGAAGGTGCATCAAGCAAATCAAAAAGCATAGTTTACTTCTGCCTGGCAGATTAAAAGGGACACAGTGATTATATAATTTTCATCCATTAACCCTTTGGGAGCATTGCCAAAATTTAAGCTCTTGTTGCAGAAGATGCCCAAATATAACCCAGACTTCTGGGAAATCAGTGAGCCACAAAGCAGAAGTAACTCTTGTATGGCAGAAAAAGAGGTTGCCCAAAAGAAAAACAAAAAACACACACACACACATACACACACACACACGCCCCTTTTTCCCCCATCATGTAGGTGGAGTTACCTTTTAACTTCATGTAGTGCCCTCTAGGGGTGCTAGAGGTAAATTTAGTTCAGCTCAAAAAAGTAACTGCAGTGAGCATGTTCTGTGGGGGTCAAGCTTAAGTCAGGCCTGTGTCGCCTTCCTCTGGTTCTGAAGGTTCACGGAAAGTGTGGAGAGACCTGCCCATAAATATCAGAGCCTAGCCAGCAGGGGATTCTAGTGATTGCGTGGAAGATGGAGTGCTGAGGAGGCATGAGGTCTGGGAGGGGACCCTGAGGAAGGGGGGGGGGGGCGCTCTACCTCAAGGAAGGCAGGAAAAAAAAAAAAAAAAAAAAAAAAAAAGCCTATATAGGGAGAGGGTTGCCAGATGCATTATCCAGCTTCCACTGAATACACACAATTTTGTATTTTCTGGGTAGTTGGCGTGTGTGCTCCCTACTCACACAGCTATTGGCTCCTTGGCATGTCAATCATTGGGTCCTGGCTGCCAATTCTAAGTGATAGTTGGAGCTGACAGGGGAAAGGTCTGTATGTAAACAATACAGATCTCTCCCCCTGTCAGCATGAGCAGGCCACTTTGTATTTCTCTGCACAGGTAACCCTTTGATTGCCCCAGATCTTAACACCTTCTTGCCCAGAATCATTACAGTCAGTGCTTTATTTAGCAGCGATCACTGTATTAGTGTCACTGGGGAAGTTAGTGGCAGTTAGTTCCCCCCAGCGTTGGAATGCCTGTCACAGTCCTGCTATAAGTTCCTGATCGCCGCCATTACTAGTATATATTTAGAAAGAAAAAAAAAAAAAAAATTGTAAATGCTACAACTTTCACGTAAACCAATTTACACTTTTAATTAGATTTAAATTTTTTATTGGACATGTTTGAATAGCAAAAAGTCAAAAATATTGTCAATCTTTGTTTATATAGTGCAAAAAACATCACTCAGGCTGGAGTAGTGTCCAGGATCCACTCTTGTAAATAAAACGCAGTAATGTTTGTCTTCAATCTGTTCTTTCTAGTCAAGTTGGGTATCCCATAACGCTTTTTGGAAGCACTACATACACAATAGTTGGGAAACATTTCTTCTGTGTAGGGCTAACTTGGAGCAAACTTACCTGGTACTGATCAGGATTCCTTCTAGTAAAGAGTAGGAACTGAGTCTTAATCACCTCTGGTGCCCATGGTAAGCGACTTATGGGTCTGGCCCGTGTGCCGGAATAGGGCGGGTCATCTGTGAAACATCCCAGCCTATCATAACAGATCTTAGCAGCTGGACAGAGAAACAAAAGAATACAATTATGGCTTGGTCTCTCACTGCACCATCACAAGCAAAACAAAAACCTGAGGGCAGCCAACTGAACCCACACAAGAAATATGGGTGCTTGAGATGCAGAATTGAGAGTATTCAAAGCTTCTTTATGATATGGCAAATTACTGTCTTGGCATAAGCATGTAACCAGTAAAAGTCACTCACATACCTAAAAGTGACTTGCCAGGGAATTAAACATCCATTGCTGACCCTCTTTTGCAAAATGCTGGCGTTTAGATTAAATAATCACCAAAAAAGGTACAATTATGCAAAGTAAACATTGACATAGGATTCCAAGTTAGGGAACAATGCTTAAGGCAGCATTGACAGGCCATATAATGGCTTCAATGCTTTTTTGCAAACCTTAAAATGCATACAATTGATGAGTGATCATTTCTCATCCCAGGCATGACAGCCAGACAAACATCTAAAAAGGAAGCAAAAGAGGCAGCAACATACTTTTATGGTGGAATCAGGTGACACACACACACCAGAGAGCACAACACACACATCTAAAAAGGAAGCAGGAAAGAGGCAGCACACATACACACACACATGGTGGAATCACTTTACACACACACACACACACACACACACACACACACACACACACACAGTAACCCACACACACACACACACACACACACACACTTTTTGTTTCCATTCTATGGCTGGCCAAAAGATGGAATGAAATTTGGTCAGTTTAGTAGGGACTGGACAAATTTAATTTCATGTATCAGAACAAACCAACTGTAAATACCTCGTGCACATCTATGAGCGGCTCGTGGACTATTTGAACCTGGGCCCTGCATGATATCATTGCTGTATGGCAGGGGTGTCCAAACTTTTTTCAAAGAGGGCCAGATTGGATGAAGTGAACCTGGTGGAGGGCCGAACATTTTTCCGAACATTCTTTGAACCATTACAATTAAATGCAAATAAATTATTTTATGCCAAGTTAATTGCAAACGACATACTTTTGCATTTCATAACAGTAAGATCAACTGACAGCTGAATTTTCACAATGTATTGAAAATAAATGTTCAAAAAAAAAAAAAAAAAAAAAAAAAAAAAAAAAACTTACCTGCACTAATGTGAAGGGTGAAAAAGGTAGCTGGAGCTGAAGTCTCTGCTCGGCAGCCGGGAGGGGAAGAGAAACACACTTCACGCTGGAAGCCCGGCCCTGACGTCACCGCCCTCTGTCGCTCCCAGCGCAGTCACGCATGCGCACTGCTCTCAAGCAGAAGACTGTCTGTCACAGAAGGGAGGGCCGTGCGACAGCCGCATTTACACAGACTAGGGAGAACGCGCCGCAGTCAGGCATGCGCACTGCCCTCTGCTCTCAAGCAGAAGACTGTCTGCCATAGAAGGGAGGGCCACATTACACAGAGCAGGGAGGGCTGTTGGAGGGCCGTATTAAACCGACCCCCGGGCCGTAAATGGCCCGCGGGCCGGACTTTGGACATGCCTGCTGTAGGGTCTTTCAGCTCGCATCGTTACCCTTGATCCTGAACCCTGCTTAACAGTTCTTGCCGTGGCTTCCATCTGACCTGCCGCTGGATTACCCCTACCTGGCACTTATCTGTTACAATCTCAGCCTAGACTCTTGATCAAGATTTAACTCATCATTTCTGTACCTGGTTGTCTGGATGCCATCAACCTCTGCTTGCCTGACCTGGTGCATTTCTGCACAGCTTACCAAACAACTTGTGATGTGGATCTACTTACTAGTCTGGTTTGGGGGGACGCAAGTTAGGGTGACCTCATCACTGAGCTTCTGCCTACTGGACACCAGAGCTCCCAAGTCCCAGCTTACGGTGCCCTTCTATTGCTGTAGCAGTCCCCATCTCAACTGCCCAGATGGGAATTGTACAAGAGGCCACCCTCATCTCCAGCTCCTCAGAGGTATGGAGGCCATGTATGGCTGCCTCCATTCAACCTATAGATGTTGAAAAACTTGTTGTAAGTGGCTGCAGCTGCTGATCAGTGTATTCTGACAGTAGTAGAGTCCCACTGTCACAACACAATGCCTCAACAGGAGGATTCCTGCATCCACCTAACTTCTGTGGATGGAGGAAATCCGTATCTTTTTCATTCAGCTCACTGGCCGAACGAAAAACAAAACCACCAAAACACATGTCCAGCCTAACAGTTCCCTTTAAAATGATATCAGTAAAGGCAATGGGCCTACATGGCCAAAATACAAACCAATACCTTGTTGTGGGTTTTGGTCTTTTGCAGAATGTTGGGTTCTATTCACACCTCACAATTTGGAATCTTGGGCAGAATGTGCTCCACGTGTTTGGATGCCACTATCCTTCAATGGCACCTCAAATGAGATCCAAATCTGCCACAAATGTTACGCAGCAAACTGCATATTTACAAATTGCATAAAGCTTGTTGCCCAAAAATGAGCAGGATCCGCTTTTCAGGCAATAAACGCGCACAGGGCTACCCTATGCAACACACAGAAGTGTGAAAATCACGTTGTCAAAATAGTGTAGGGGAATGCTTGTTCCTGCTGCATGATAATGTGAACAGGGCCTTAAAGATGCAATTATGTTGCATACCAGCCTGTCTGCTTATCCCTGGTTCACATTAGTGTGGGCCATGCACCTTTCCCAATGCGCATCTGCATGGAAATTGCATGGTCTTTTTGATTGTGCTGTTCCCAAACCTGCGATTGCGCTATGGGAATGGCAGCCCCCCCGCATCTTGCAAGTGAAACGCGATGTGGCTGGGAGTACAGGAGTCCCACTGTTCCGGCATCCAGTTAATAAGTGGCAGAGGAGATGCAAGCTACAAATTTTGTGCATCCACAATTGAAGTCTGAGTTTAGTATGTTGCCAATAGCAATCAAAGGGGTAACATTATAGCCATATACAAATGAATGAACACCAATCAACTGTTTACTTATGTATGAACTTTAGATTGTTAGGTTCTGTCTGTGACCCCATCAGAGTGGAGATGTCCAGGACACCCATGATGCGAGAGATTGAGCTATGGCTGGAACGAGGGGGGGGGGGGGGGGGGGGGGGGTGGGGAAGGGAAACCAACCAACACCACACAAACCCCCATTCCTCTGGGTGATCCATGTACATTGCAGGGATTTTAACAAAAGAAACTTTGCTGCAGATTTGTTATTCTGAAGAAATAGCCCAACTGTCCAGTACTGAGAGTTCCATAGGATTTAAAGGGAATTTTTTTTCCCTCTGAACAAAAACTGATCAGTGTGAAGGCAGCCTTCAATGCGATTTCCCTTTGGGAGTACAGTACCAAAAGTGAGATTTTCGCTTGCAGGGGCTGTGCTGTGTTTTAGTGCAGACGTCTGGGAAAGTCAATCACACAAGCAGAAAAAAAAACAAAAAACACATTTTTGGGAGGCAGTCTGTATACCATGGCCTCCACGTTGCCATATTGCATTTTACAAAAAGTTAAAACTCTGCAGATTGAAGAGGAAAGTTAGTGTATTATAACTACAGTATGACTTGTGTAGCTATTGTATATTTTATTTTGCTTTCACTCTACCTCCCCCCTCCCGGCAAAGTGGACTTGCCCCTTTAAGCCAGTGCCCTGCTACTCATCTTAAATTCCCAGTAAGGACAAAGATTGCAATAAAACCCTGACATACTAATTCTCTCCTGCTCTGTCCCAAGGGGATGAAGTTTGGCTGGTGTTAACCTCTGAAATTAAAGTACCACATGTGTGACTTATGCATGTCCCAAGTCAGACCACAGCCCTATCTAGAGATATGACAGAATCTCAATATATAAAAAAGGAGTAATAACATACCTTCAATAGCAGCTGCTATGGACAGCACCAGAACCAGTTTGACAAACATCTGTAAGAAAAGAAAAAAGCCACACTCTATAAATAAGTGATCACATTCCTGTTCTCAGCTGCATAAGAGCAGGGGGAAGGAGCAACAGCAGCACACTGGTCTTCCCAGACTTGTCAGCACAAGTCTGATCATTGAAAGAGAAGCACATAGTTCCCAGCACAGCTGGAGAACTGACCATGTTATACCCTGCTGCCTAGTGCGTTCAGCTTTTAATATGAAAGAGGGACTAGCTGGAACACCAGGGATTTGACACAAAGAAAAAAATACACATAACAGGATACATTTTCATACAAGTACATGGTACAGCAGGCACATCAGAATATGAAATGTTGGGTTTATATATTCTTTAAAGAAGGGGATCTGTGCCAATAGATACAAAGACTGGCATAAATGGCCTGAAAATGCTAATCCCCTGGCTGCCATGCTGATGCTCCAACATAACCAAGTTAAGGTAATTATAATAAATAGTGATTTTAGTCTGGTTTACTTTTTTGGGCCTACAAAAAAAAAAAAAAAAAAAAAAAAAAAAAAAAAAAAAATCACCCTATTTTTGCCAAAACTGAGTTCATGATCTGAAACGTCAACGGGAGGTGCATCTGCATACTTTTGTGGGTCACAACTATTGACTAGACGTGTGCGATGTATTCATTAAGAACCAAAACTAACTAAATTTGTAATTTGGATGTATCCAAATCACAATAGTAATGAATTTTGACAAATCCAAAACATACCAAAATTCATAGGCAGCTTCAGAGAGTTTTGTAACTTCAATAATAGTCATTGCTATGGTTGGCCAAAGCCAAACAAAAAGTCACAACAAGTCGCATCAAAATTGCCAAAACATAACAAATGAATTTGAATCCTCCAAATCTATTCAGAACATCGAATATACAAAACAAAATCATTCTAACATAAGATGATGAACCAATATGATTGACTAAAATCATTAGAAACAAAATTTTCATTGTGCTCATCTCTATTGACACCATTGAACATCTAATATTTTACACGCTACCCCAAGCTCCACTCTTCAATCACATCTCAGTTGCTGGCTCGTCTCCCTTGAAGTCTAGTGCAAAAAGGAGTCAGAATACACTTGTTCCTTCTGGCCATTTTAATAAATGAATATGTCGCATCTCCCT